TTATCAAAATGATTTGCTCATAAAGTATATATACATATATCAGATAAAAGTACAATAAAAGGGATAAAACAATGAAAAATGTAATCTTGAGCTTTCTGTGTGAAATTCAATTATCCTATATAACGAACAATATAGATAGTTTTATATTAATCAAAACTTTTAAACTAATTGAGACATTTTACTTTTAACCATCATATTTATTGATTTTAACACATAATTATTGGTACATGAGGGCACCAGATATATATGCACCACATAATAATAATAATAACGATGAGAATGAGAAGAGATAAAGAATGTACGATGTGTATAAAAAGAAAAAAGGAGAACAATAACGATCACACATCAGTGTATGGTAGTGAAATAATAACAATGATGGGGGAAACGGAAAGAATTCCTTCAATTAAAGAAGTTACAACCACTTTTTATGAAGAAAGTAAAAGAAGGTTACAGCAGGATCGCCACTGCCTTCTATTCTAAGCCATATCTGATAACGTATCTAGCCACTGTGTTACACCATCTCTAGGAACCCAACTAAGGAGTCGTGAATGACCAATAGATGCTAGTTCTGTACAGCATTCTTTCATACCACAACACTATTTCATACAATGACCACCTCTCCGCTTCTTCCAACCAGTCCCAGGGTCGGCGAATAATGCACGACAAGGAATTCTCTGGGACGACATTTGTCGAACATGTCCAAGTCACCGAAGTCGATGTTTCAAGATAGTGACATCAATTGAATTATCGTCTCTATGTCCGAACACACGATGCTCAACCTCTGCATTACTAACATGATGTTGTCACTGGATGTCAGCAATTGTTCGGAGACAACGATGATCAAACACAGAGAGTGGTACAACATCCTCAACTCGGTGAGGCCAGGTTTCGATAGAATAAAAATGATTGTATTGAACCTATTAATTGCTCAATTCTATCTCTGTAGACTGCATTTAATGAGAAAATCAACACTACGTCTAAATCCTAATACAAAAATCCTTAATCTTAGGAAAAAAACATTATCCTGGTGGTACTGTATCTTATAGACGAACTAAGCGGATGGCAATTCTGGGACATTTTGCGCGGAATTTATTCATACATTTGACTACAGAGTATTTTGGCGCTATGGTTGACGTCAGTTTATGATGAGAATCTTAACTGTAAATTCTTAATTCTTATCGTAAATGCCTAATTCTAACCAAGACCAATGTGGGGATGGAAACTTCCGTTTGAGACCTTTTAAAAGTTCGAGAATATGGATAATCAGTATCCATGAGAACGAGTTTCTTATTTGCTCTTTTTTTATTTACAGGCAGAGTAACCTGATAGGAACTTAATAGATTAATTAGCAATGAAAAATCTGATTACACTTCGTAATATTACAGTTTTCCTTTCCATAAACTATCCATTTGCAAAGTCTATTTTCTGATTGGTTAAGGACTGGTTGAAAATTCGTCGCGGTAGATTCAGGTATGTCTCTTATACTATACTAACCAACAAAGATTGAATACATGTTATCAATGAGCACACACTGAATCCTTAACAGGCTATAGCGAAAAGAATTTCAAAGTTTGCCAAAAAAAACTTTCAATTCACGTTAATCTTAACACGATTGTTTTCTTATTCATATTCCCTCTCCTTTTATTTCTTATGTGTATGTTTTTACCATGAAGCTTGAATGAAGACGTATCCATACACATCAGAGATGAAGTTTACTTTCTTTCATTAACACTTAATTTACATGAGAGTTGTTGGTAATCTCCAAGTAGACTATTTTTTGAAACTAATAAGTGAAATCTATTCAAACTTGTACTTTAGACGATGAAAAAAAATGAGGTCATAAAGATGGATGTTTTCTAAGGACTGTTCAAGAAAATTATGCCTCCCAAACGCTACACCAAGATTAATCAGTATTTTTAGAAACAGAATCCTCGTAAATCTGGAAACAATTACGCCTTATTTCGTCAAGATTACTGTCTCATTCATCATCACCAAAAAAGTACCAGCTAGCTAGCTATCCCATGATATAATGCAATCGTTGAACATATTAACGTGAATTAGTAACTGTCAGCAAGAATTGCTTCAAATAAGAAATAAAATGACCGTATTAAGAAACTTTGAAATCTATCTAATCAAATGAATAGATCAGGACATATTATGATCAATTCAGTTTACTTATAAATAAAAGGAGAGGAAATCTGTTAAATCTTATTAATCACAATTGACGTATTAGGGTTTTAGATCGACCTACGGAAAATTCGATCTACGAATGATTGAAGGTTTCTCTAATACGACACAATATATAGGAAATTAAATAGATCGAACATTTGTCATACAGTAGCACTTCAACATTTTTAATCCACAAGCTAATAGAGATAGAGAAAATGGGACTATCAGAATAACTTTACATTCTATAAAGAAGTGAAAAATTGAAAAACAACTCTGACTTTGGAAATCATAATAAAGTTAGTTAGTTAGTTAAAGATGATGACAATTAATCATCCGGTAACAGCAAAAGAAAGAACTAACATACAACAACACAAAACCTAATCACTACTTAGCAACGCTAAAATTATGTTAACTAGTTAAACAATGACAATTAGGGGATCACAAAATCGTAATATAGATATGTAAAAATATGTAAAAAATCCATTGACTTTCACATAGAAACTTGTAAATTAGAGTTCTATTAAAAAGCAAGTGTGGCTAGACAGAAAAAAAGAACGGTAACTACTGAATAAACAACAACTTCATTGAAATTTAAGTTGAAGCCTCCCTATGAAAGGCAACAAGAAAAATCATCCACTAGAAAACAGATATCCAAACACTAAAGAGAGACAGAGAGAATAAAAAAGATTTACTTTCAAGTCCCGTTTAAAAATGTCATGTAAGTCAAGTCAATTATCACATGACCAATTCACATGCCAATTCATGAAAATCAATAGTACATGTTCACACGAACATTTAGACTGATCAGTGTACAATAATTAACGTTATGTTTGTCTAGGTCTTGGCTCTGATTGAATTTCATCGGTCAAGTTCCAATCTACCTACTGATTTAAGTGACTCGATATTATGTGCAATATGCTTTGATGTTGGATAGCTGTAACTAATTAGCAGGAAGTCATGCTTGACACAATTTTCGTGATAGTTGACAATCGTCAGCAAGATGATCATGAGTGGATTGAAATGAACCCCCTTCATGTGATTCAATTCTGTGTATCACCATCACCACCTAACACAAGCATACATATACATGTGATGTACGACTGTTCTCTTAATATCCTGCTTCGGTTTGGGCACCCGGGTAGTTTCCTAGCCCTTATACAAACCGAATGATTTATGTGGCGCATATCTATTTGGTGCCTTCTTGTACCTATGTTTATGTACTTAAACAATAATAATAATAATAACAAGTTCTCTCAATATCAATGTTGAAAATGAATACACAACAGCATAACTGTAAATCATAGTAATAACATTATGTTAGTAACATCTATTTGTCTAAAAATCAATATATGGTTTTTTTTATTATCAAACAAAGCACACACTTAAATCATAGTTGACAATATGAATAAACAAGTGTATTTTACCACTGAATTTTAGGTTTCAAACCAAAGTGAGAATGTGATACATCATCGTCAAAATTGCATAAGTCCTATTGAAATAATTTTAATATATACAGAAACTGTCAACTAGCATTCTATTCTCTCTTTCCAATCCTATTCTATCCTGAAATGTATTGGAATCAATGTTAATGAGTTGTGACAAAGGGATGAAGATAGACAAAAGACAAGTGACTTTAAAATTTGAAATATTTCCATATTGTAAATTTAGAACAACATAGATATATAGGCGAACAATATTGTTTTCGATTAGATCTTCATCAGGCTTTACTCCAATATACAGTAATGTATTTATATGCATATATGAATTTATTAAACTAATCAAGGTAGTTTATGAGTCAAATGATAACTATGGAAACGATTACATAATAAGTGAAAAGTACCAATTAATAGTGTGATAACAGATGCATTAGTTTTTGATTGAGATCATGAACCGATTGATGTGAGACCACCTTTGGAAACCTGGAAGCACTGGACGGCCGTTTCGTCCTATTGTGGGACTCCTCAGCAGTGCGCATCCACGATCCCGCTCGCGGGATTCGAACCCAGGGCCCTCGGTCTCGCGCGCGAACACTTAACCTACTGGACCACTGAGCCGACATCCAATGGTGATAAAGTCTAACATCAAATCAATGTTACATAATCGGAAATAGGTCAATGATTAGGAGAAAATATAGACAATGAGATAACATTTATAAAATTATAGGATGACGTAATAAGAAGTGTTCAGATAATTGGACCGTGAAAGGTATATTTGAGAAAAAATAAAATAAAATGGTAAGAGAGGGTGAACACCTCCCTTCGTGGTTAAGAAAACGTAACGTCAAGACAATACGCAGCTCGGTTCTATCACACTTGATCGATAGAGGTCATGTAGTGGACAGAAACAAGTCATTTAAAGTTATTTATCGTATTCCTACTAGTTTCTCTTATGATGTTCGATCTGATCTCTTACACATAGCAGAAGCTGTAGGGATTCGAGCCAACAAGCCAAGTCTTTGTGTTCAAAAGAAATTTGTAACAGCCTTATCTCTTCGTGATGAAGATCTAATCGAAAACAATATTGTTCGCTTATATATGTTGTTCTAAAAGACAAGTGATATATATATACACCTCCAAATGGGACGAAACTCCCGTCCTGAATGCCATTACTAGTAACATTTCACCTATTAAATATAAACTTGTGGAAAAATGACTACATTGAGGCAATCCATTCAGGATCTATATACACCAACTAACTTCAGTAAAAAATATCAACAACGTAATCATTTCAAACATGACAAATTAAATTATAAAGAATTTATAGTTTGAAAGGGAATAGATGAAATCGATGAGTATATACATGTAAATATATACATTATTACAATAACTTACTTCGATCCTGTTTTCGTTTTTTACAATCAAAATCTAATCTTCGTCCTTCGAGTTTTTTACGATGATACTGGAAGGATAAATTGGCAAAGATAAATCTTAATCAGTAGAATAGTTTATATAATAAAATGACAAGTTTATATACAAAATATCAACACAAGAGAAACAACATATCATAAACGATTGAGTAATATCAATTTTATTAGTTCCTCATTCTCTAAAACATTCAATCTTAACTGTTATGCATACAAATCAAGGATAATGAAGTAAGAAAATTGTTTAATAAGATTGTAGAGGGAAATTATTTGCATGAATAAGTCAAATAGCAGTAAAACCAATTCCGATTCGGTTAAACAGCATAAGCTAATAAGCAAAGATGGATAGTGACTAGCAGTGGAATCCAGAATGTATGTTTCGTCCTATTTGGGACTCGTCAGCTGGATGTGCCTACAAGTTGATGTTCACTCTGGGACTCGAACCCAGTACCATTCGCTTCAAACGTCATCGCGTTATCCACAAGCAAAACAATACAAAATGAGCATAAGCTAATTTTTTTATTTCTGTACAATAGACCAATATCACGCATCACAAGTAGACTTTATCTAGTCAACCAGGGGGTGGAGAACTGTTTCATTCTAGTATAAGACAAACACAATAATGAGTACTCAGGACCGTGCCAGAGATCGAACCTCAGAATTTAAGTTTAAGCAGTAAACGCCTAAAATTTAGAGCATTGAATCAATGTCCAGTGCTAACTAAGATCAATTCATGATGTAAACTATAAGTAGACAAATTATTCAAATAATAATGTTGCCAAACAATTCAATTTACTTTGTAAGTAAGTACATAAGTATACAGATTGATATTTTTTCAATAATTTTCCGTAAATTGTGAAAAACATGTTCATAACCATAATGAAATTAATGAATCAGAATTAAATTTCGATTTAGAACACAATGGTATAACTAAACAATAACAATCAACACTATTTTATTCATTACAGTAGTGTAAAGTATGTACAACAGATTGTTATTCATAGTGTTGAGAATTATGAAGTGATACATAACTTGATTAATAAATAAACCATTAGATACGTAAAGTTGTGTATTATGATTATAATAATAATAATAATAATAATAATATAGAGGTTTATCAAAGTAACAAAGTGTAGCTTATATGCAAAGATGGATAGCAACTGGCAGTGGAATCCAGAATGTATGTTTCGTCCTATTTGGAACTCGTCAGCTGGATGTACCTGCATCTCAGAGTTGATGTTCACTCTGGGGCTCGAACTCAGTATTATTCGCTTCAAATGCTATCGCGTTATCCACTTAACTACTGAACATAGATAGGCACTTGCTAATAACAATGGGGTGAATTTAAACTGTAGCTTAGTTTGCATAAATGAACACTAAGTATTATATGATCAATGTGTATGATAAACAAACCATTTAGTGAGTTTTCATCTATACCTTGTACATAATGATATTGTCAATGGAATATTCAAATTAATTAGATAGAGAAGTTTATAAACCTATCATTTAATGATTAAAGAAACTCCTCCATTGTATAATCAAATATTATGATCAAGATTAAGCTGAAACAAAACCCTTGATAAAAATCTTCAAAATACATATACTTACATTGATCTCTTTTAATTCATGTGTTTGTACACTATGTAGAGGATCTAGAAAATTCTCTTTGACATGTTCTTCCATAGTGTATTTAATATTTGCTAAACATTTAAATGTTTCACCAGCTTCTACAAGACATTGACCTAGAAAGAAAGTTATATACATGGATATAGTATGGATTAAAAAAATAATCTAGCCTATAATGGTATGGTAACTCGAACTGATGTACGTACGTACGAAGTTCTACGTTGTTACTGACTGACTGACTGAACAATTTAAACATACTTACAAAAATGATGTACTAATGAAAATATTCAATGTATAGTTCTGGTCGAAAACTAGTTAAAACATAAAATCTAACTTATTCTTTAGAGAAAACACTAATGTGAATAGTATCATTCTTGACATAGATGAACTTTCACAATTGATTGATCATTGGGTGGTGGTCAATGTCATGTGTGTCAAGTCCTTCATAGTGCAGATCGAATGCTATCGACCAAGATGCAATGTGGCCACCAGTCTAGGTGATTCAACATGGCGTGACATGGGATCGAATCCGTCAGGATGCACCAATTCCTTCAGATTACAGGTACACCTTGCTGACGAGTGCCAAGTAGCACGAAATTCGGGTTAACAGGGTTTCCTGTTGACTACCTCTAACCACTATCTTATCTCAACAGTTGAACTTTACTGGTCACGTCTTTAAAAAGGTTGTATTCCTGAAAAGTTCTATATTAAGATGAGTCAGCTATTCGATGCTTCCTGATTTCAAACGTAACACCGATAGATGTTAGTTCGTGATGAAAACCACTTACAGATGATATATTTCCTTGACAATACTTTTTTTCAAAATAAGTTCATGCTGAAAATCAATCTGATGATTGGATGATATCTTTACAAAATCTACATAAAGATACACTGAACAATTGTGGACTGTTTGAAATTTTGATAAAATAATCACTGTGAGGCGATGTTAAGTAAACTTTTCGATTACCTAAATGTAGTCAGTTTTTAAAGCATATAAAGTCAGAGACTGTCAAATGATGACAACATTTGACTCATTAACTTCACGGTATACAAGTAGCCAGCCACTAAAACATAACAAACAGGCAAAAAAGTACAGTGGACCTGACAAAAATGTGTATTTTCAGCTCGAATTGTCAAACTACAAATTGAATCAAGAGTAAGTCGAAAAGAAGATAGCCGGAAAAATGAAAATCCCGTCAATAGTAACACACAACACTAGAAGATTACAACAAATGAGATTCAAAATAAGATGAATGATGGATGACCTTGCACAAGTGTAGTCGAGTTTGAACCAGATTACATCAAATAGACGTCATCAACAGAGCATCTAGCACATGTGTGATGTTGCCCATACCACATTAGCACGACGAGACGAAAATAACAAAATGTATAGCAGAAGAGATCATAGTAACGTAGTAGCAATGATAAAGACTAAGCTCTGGAAATATGGTTCCAAAAAACATAGTGAATCGACTGGATTTAGACATTAGCACCGTTGGATGCCCGTCCAGTGGTCTAGAGGTTAAGTTTTCGCGTGCGAGATCGAAGGTCCTGGGTTCGGGTCACGCGCGCGGAATCATGGATGCGCACTACTGAAAAGCCTTATACTAGAACAAAACGGCCATCCAGTGCTTACAGGTTTTCATTGGTGGTCTAGTTTAGATCAACTCATGAATTCAACAATGAAAAAGTATGTAAGAAGGAATACTGGAATTCATAACTGAAAAGAATATAAAACATGAATGCATCGGCACTATTATGAAAGGTCCTGACCCATGTCTCTAACCACTGACCACTCTTACCATGTGGACCCAAACCACATAGTCTGCATCTATTAAAATGGCTTAGTTCAACAATTAATGACTTCATGGAGTGACGCCATATTTTGATTTGGCCACATCTATCTTTTTTATAACATACTTCTACACCAACAACCATCACTCATCGAGATAACAGAGGATTGGGCATATGTAACACATGTCATAGCCAATTCAGCCAATGAAGATTAAGGACCTCATTAACTGGTTTGCCACCTTTACCAAGTACCATAGACTAATGGTCAAACCTTAACATTACTCACATGATCGTCCCAAGAAACACGAGCTCTGTTTCCAAAATACCTATCATCAAAAACCTTTAGTCTACACATGTCTCCTACTTCCAGAAGAAAATGTTTCGCAGAAATCAAGTTATAGAGTGGATTACCCCACCGTATACATCCCGTTTGGTTGGTGGACGAACATCTTGACTACGCCACAGGTGGCGCTAGTAGGAGAAGTCAATCATGCTCTCTCGATTCGTACGGAGAGTTTGCCAGACATCGACTCTCCAGGGTCGATGAGACTTCTAAGAAAAGTGAAGCGGTCAACGAACTCAACTACTTCATTTTCTATCATTGGTTCTGAAGCAACACTATGCATTTAAAGAGAGACAAATGCATCCCAAACATACACTGTTGCTCAATGTGATTAACAAACCCTGCATCAAATAGGATCATGTTATCTAGGCATTTTGAGTAGATAAGTGAACATAGTCACAAGGTTTTTGACCAAAGATTATAAATGTATTGGCAACATTACTCAGGAAGCTTGATGTTTACTTCCAATACATGTTATATTTGACATAAAAACTTGGAAAAATGGGACCCAATAAAGTATCCCATACAAAAACTTGGAATTAAACTTTATGAATCAACGGAATATGTTTTTCTGATCACCATTAAACATTTCTCAACCTATTCTAGACCAGTCAGCATAACACATCATATAAGCATCTAGTTACTGAAAATATGACAATGCTCCTATATATCAATTATTATAACTGATCATTAAACAATACATTAAGAATATAATTGCATTGAAACTCTTGAGTTTTCATAAAAATGCTTATTAGCCAATAATGTATAAAAGAGTTCTGACCAATAAGACTGGGAATGTTAAACGGTCTTTGTTCTTATAGTACTAGTTCTGATCAATGATGACATATTATAGATAAAACTAGGGTCGAATGACGAGTCAGATAGTGAATACTACTTCAGTGACTATTCAACTAAGCAGTGTTTGCTATCTTTGACAATAATTAGAGGAGGTAGGGTGTTTAGTATATAAAATGACGATGGCGTGATGAAATGAAAAACCTTTGTTAATTAAAAATGAACTAGTGTAAACTTCAATACAAAGACAATTAACAAATATTGATCAGATCAAGATTTAAGTATGAGAAAGTTATTAGAAAACTTATATCAGTGTTAAACACTATATTAAACATACCATAACACGAATCAGGACCTAAATCGCGACCAAATTTTACCATACATTCACCTAATTGATTTTCAGGTTGAGGATAAGCTGCACACTTTGATTTCCCTTGTAACTTATTTAATGTATTCATTGTCATTAATTTGGCACGATAGGCTGGATTTGGTTGTAGATACTCTTGTGTTTGTGCTATGACATCTTCAAATAATTTAGAAATTGTATCAACTTTCTAAATGATAGATTTAAAAATTAAATATATAATCAAAACTTGCTTTTTCAATTTCAATATATTCATCATCTAGTTTTGTACCCTCTGCTCCTCCAATCTTCTCACTCATAAACTGAAAAAATGGGGGAAAAAATGAAAAGTAGATTTGTCTTATTAAAAACAATTACATTTACAAGATTACTAAAAGTTTTTTATTGGTTTGATGATCCTAGATTAAATATCATAATGAGAATGAAACACTGTCTATGAGAATAATACAGTTACTTATTTATGCCTGTTACTCCTCGTGAAGGAGCATAGGCCACTCACCAGCATTCTCCATCCAACCCTGTCCTGGGCAATCCGTTCCAGCTCCTTCCAGTTGTTACTCATCCTTTTCATATCTACTTCTATTTCTCGACGTAATGTGTTCTTTGGCCTTCCTCTTTTACGCTTCCCTTCAGGATTCCAAGTTAGGGCTTGTCTCGTGATGTAGTTTGATGATTTAAGTAATGTATGTCCTATCCACTTCCATCGTCTTTTCCTAATTTTCTCTGCAGCTGGAAGCTGGTTTGTTTTCTCCCACAAAAGGCTGTTGCTGATAGTATCCGGCCAATGGATGTTGAGTATCTTGCGTAGACAACCATTTATAAATACTTGTACATTCTTGATGGTGGTTGTTGTAGTTCTCCAAGTTTCGGCTATATGCAGTAGAGCTGCCTTGACGTTCGTATTGAAGACTCTCACTTTGATATTGGTTGAAAGATAGTTGTTTTGAGTTCCATATGTTCTTCAATTGTAAGAATGCGACCCTTGCTTTGCCGATCCTCGCCTTTACGTCTGCATCGGATCCTCCTTGTTCATCGATTATGCTTTTCAGGTATGTGAAGGATTCTACATCTTCCAGAGTTTCGCCACCAGCAGTGACTGGATCACTGTTCTTCGTTTTGAATTTGAGGACCTTAGTTTTCCCCTTGTGTATGTTGAGGTCTACTGATGCAGAGACTGCTGCTACATTGGCTGTCTTTATCTGCATTTGTTTGTGTGTATGCGATAGGAGGGCTAGGTCATCTGCGAAGTGCAAATCGTCTAACTGGTTCTGAGCTGTACATTGTATGCCGTGTTTTCCTTCAGATGTCGAGGTCTTCATAATCCAGTCAACCACCAGAAGAAAGGGGAAGGGAGAGAGTAAACAGCCTTGTCTGACTCCGGTCCTTACTTGGAATGCATCTGTCAGCTGGTATGTTGTCGGGTCCCGCTGCTTTTCCGCTCTTGATTTGTCTGATGGCCATTCTGATTTCTTCCGTCGTTGGTGGATTGACATGTTTAGGAAGATCTGTGTGTGCTGCTTCAATGTCCGGTGGATTCATTGGAGCCGGCCTATTCAGGAGTTCTTCGAAGTACTCTACCCATTTGTTCCGCTGTTGTTGAATTTCAGTGATTGGCCTGCCTTCTTTGTCTTTGGCTAGTCTCTCTGGTTTACTGTATTTCCCTGCTAGTTTCTTCGTTGTATCGTAAAGCTGCTTCATATTTCCCTCTCCTGCAGCTTTTTCAGCCGTCGTTGCTAGTTTTTCCACGTATTTCTTCTTGTCGGCTCTAATACTCTTCTTTACTTGCTTGTTCGCTTCTATGTACTCAGCTTGTGCTTGAACTTTCTCTGCTCGTGTTCGGCTGTTGTTAATTGCTGTCTTCTTGTTCTTCTTTTCTTTGATCTTGTCCAGTGTTTCCATAGAGATCCATTCCTTATGATGATGCTTCTTTAGGCCCAGAACCTCTTGACACGTCGAAGTTAATGCTTTTTTGATACCTTTCCAGTTGTCCTCCATAGTAGTTTCTTCTTCCTTCAGTAGATCCTGTAATGCTTGAAACCCGTTGTTGAGAGCTAACTTGAATTGGTTGAGTTTGTCAGTATTTCGAAGGAAGGCTGTATTGGACCTTTGTAGTGCTGTTTGTCTATTTGTCCAGTTCTCCTTTAGCTTCAGTTTTAAATTGACCACAACTAGGTGGTGATCTGAAGCTATGTCAGCACCTCTCCTGGTTCTCACATCTTCCATTGTACTTCGGAATTTTTTATTGATGCAAATATGATCTATCTGGTTTTCTGTGGTGCGGTCCGGTGAGATCCATGTAGCTTTGTGTATACGTTTGTGTGGAAATATTGTGCCGTCTATGACCAATTTGTTGAATGCACACAGATTTGCAAATCTTTCTCCATTTTCGTTTCTCTCTCCCAGTCCATGTCGTCCCATGATACCTTCATATCAAGTGTTGTCTATTCCGACTTTGGCGTTTAGATCTCGCATTAGAATGGTGAGGTCCTTTCTTGGGCACTTCGGTAAGATTGATTGCAGCCGCTCGTACAATTGATTTTTTTATGTTGTTGTTGCTATCATTGGTGGGTGCATAACATTGGATAATATTCATTGTTATCCCCTCCTTTGTTTTGAACGCTTTGATGATTCTGGATCCGTCCTATATATTCTGGGTCCATCCTATAAGTGCATTTCGTGCTACTTTGGACAGCATTAAAGCAACTCCCTGAGTGTGTGGGGCACTTTCCTCCTCGTAGCAGGAGTATAGTAACATCTCTCCCGTATTTAACCTTTGTTGTCCAGCTTGTGTCCAATGGGTTTTGCTTATTCCCAGTACTACCAAGTTGTATCTCCTCATTTCCGTTGCCATTTGACTGGTCTTTCCGGTCTCCCACATTGTCCGGACGTTCCATGAACCTATAAAAAATGTTGCTCTAGTTGTTAGAAAGGGCATCGGCCTCGTGGCTTCCGAAGGAACTCGGCTTTCACCATGAGGCGTCACAGTTCTTCTAAATGAAGACCTTATAACTCTCAGGCCCCTGAATGCCCTGGTACGGCCGAGAGTGGGGAGAGTCCGCTCTCCCTCTCGAAATACTCTCACACGGCCACGCGTATATAGCCTCTGCCAGGGAAGTCCTACTCATTGCCTTCTCGTGGCGGGGGTGTTGTTTACGAAAATGAGAGGACGAAAAGCGAATGTCCGGCGCTTTAACCGGATTCCAAACCAATGGTGCACATGGGCTCCAGTATCCTGCGGGAACGAATGGCGTATGAACCAATCGTTGGTCACCGGCTACCATGGGACTGCATCTCCTTACGATGCTCCACTGCCTTGTGGGTTAGACCTTTAGGTCAAAGGCTCGGGGAGTGGCCCCCTAAGATAACCACCTGCTTCGGTTTGGGCACCCGGGCAGTATCACAGCCCACACACAAATGATGAACTCTATGTCCATGGAAATTACCTTTGTCGCTTTGAAAAACAATCAATTGATTCAAATTATGATCACTACAATTATTGTCATTATTAATACTAATATTATTATTACTACTATTATTGTCATTATTGTTATTATTATCGTTATTGTTATTATTTTCCACATTATTCACCCTCTTTTATACTTATACAGCGGGTCGTCTTTGGTGGAATTCCGACTGTATCTAAACGTTCTCGAGTCACTGTCCGGTTGTAAATTGTATGTTACCACCGAATACGAGGACTGAAGCAGATTTTCTGAAACCACGTGCATCATTCAAACTGGCTGCCTTCAACGTTCGCACATTTATGCAGGTCGGACAACAGATAGGGCTGGCTATGTCTTTGGAAAGTCTTAATATCGACGTGTGTTGTCTATCCGAGACCCGTATTCAAGACTCTGGCGAAGTACTACAAATTCGATCTCCATCTGTCGCTTCGAAAAGCTTGTTTTACGTGCGCTTATGCGGGGACCCTGTGGCATCTTCGTCTGGTTTTGCTGGCGTTGGTGTCGCACTAAGCGCTAGAGCTGAGGCAGCACTAGTCGATTGGATCCCCATTAACAGTCGGTTATGTGCTGTTAGATTAGAAAGTTCCATCAAAGTGAGAAGAAATCGGCGTGAGAAACGATGTCTTTTCGTCATCTCCGCCTATGCCCCGACAGATTGCAGCCCGGATGCAATCAAGGATGAGTTTGACCACCAGTTATCAGTTCTTCTCCAGAAAGTGCGTTCGACAGATATTGTAGTACTAGCCGGAGACTTGAATGCTCAGGTCGGGCGTCTAGGCACAGAAGAGAGTCGTTTAGGTGGCCGATGGGGACTCGTTGGTCGCAGGTCAGATAACGGGGACCGTCTACTGCAACTTTGCGCAGACCACAACCTGTTTCTGGCTAGCACTAACTTTCGGCACAGTCATCGCCGATGTGCCACCTGGCGTCCTCCCTCTGCATCTCAAGCCTGGACTCAGATTGATCACATCGCGATCAGCTACCGCTGGCGTGGTTGTGTACAAGACTGCCGCTCCTTTTGGAGTACCTATCTGGACTCTGACCATGCCTTGGTCTGCGCCAATCTTGCCTTACTTTTCAGTGGACAACGAAGTGAACGCCATCAACGGATTGATGTTAGCAAGCTGGTTGCAACTTCTGTTGCAAGTAAGTATCGAACCGAGCTAGCCTCTAGGCTAGCTACCACTCCACCGAAAAGTATAGATGAGCATTGGTTGCAATTGCATGACGCCATGAAAATGGCGGGAACAGTCAGTTGTGGGTTTGCGAAACGTCCCGCTTTTAAGCACTGGGTTTCTTCTGGTTCCTTACAACTCATTGAAGCCCGTCGGTCTACTCCGGGTAACCGTGAGTTTGACCATAAACGAAGGATTTTACGTAAGGAAATCGGGCAAAGCTTGCGTAAGGACCGAGAAGCCTGGTGGTCGATGCGTGCTAATGAGCTGGAAGCAGCAGCTGCATCTGGTAACTGCCGGAAGCTCTTCCAGCTCATCCGAGCCACTGGCAGCAAGAAGTCTGGTGTGAGTGAAACAATCTGCGAGGATGATGGGATGCCAATCACTAACATCCATCGACGTCTTGGACGATGGGCAGAATTTTTCGAAGGGCAGTTCAACTGGCCTGCTGCTCCGGCAACATCGGCCAGATTGTTCCGCCCTACATGGCCGGGGACGACTGATCCACCAAATGAGGAGGAAGTCCGCAAGGAACTCCAACTCTTGAAGCGTTACAAATCACCTGGCCCAGATGACTTACCTCCGGCTCTTTTTAAAGATGGTGGTGACTTTTTGACTAAGGAATTGACGACGTTGTTTACAAAGGTTTGGGAACTAGAGAGT